GGGAGGAGCAGGGGGGTGGGACAGAGCAGGAACAGAGGAGAAACCTATGTGTTATGAACTGATATGGTGTATTATGGTCTGATATGGCCTATATTACCACATCATATTTGATGGGGTTCAGACAGTAGGCAACAAGTCATAAAGGGAAAATATATATTTATATGTTCGTAAATATATTTAATATATTATATTAATATTTATATATCAAATATTTATAAATATATATTTATAAATGGGCTGGAGCGATAGCACAGCGGGTAGGGCGTTTGCCTTGCATGCAGCCAATATGGCTGACCTGACTTCGATTCCTCCGCCCCGCTCAGAGATCCCGGCAAGCTACCGAGAATATGAGAATATTTCACCCACATGCCAAAGCCTATCAAGCTACCCGTGACATATTTGATATGCCAAACACAGTAATAGCTCTCACAATGTTACTGGGCCCGCTTGAGCAAATCGATGAACAATGGGGGGACAGTGACAGTGACATATTTATATATATATACATATATATATATATAAAGGTAAAGGTAAAGGCCCTCCCATTGTTCATCGATTTGCTCGAGCGGGCCCAGTAACGTCTCCATCATGACTGGAGCGATAGCACAGCGGTAGGGCATTTGCCTTACAAGCAGCCAACATGGCCAACCCAAGTTTGATTCCTCCGCCCCTCTCAGAGAGCCCGGCAAGCTACCGAGAGTATCTCGCCCACACGGCAGAGCCTGGCAAGCTCCCCATGACGTATTCGATATGCCAAACACAGTAACAACAAATATATATATATATATATATATATATATATATATATCTCAGAGAGCCCATTAAGCTACTGGGAGTACCCCACCCACAGGACAGAGCCTGGCAAGCTCCCCGTGGTATATTTAATATGCCAAAACCAGTAACAATAAAGGGTCTCATTCCCCTGACCCTGAAAGAGCCTCCAATCATTGGGAAAGATGAGTAAGGAGAGGCTGCTCAAATCTCAGGGCTGGGATGAATGGAGACATTACTGGTGCCTGCTTGAGTAAATCGATGAACAATGGGATGACAGTGGTACAGTGATACAGTGATGGCCTACATTATTATATACCTTGTCTATTACTCACAGTGTTCATTTTTTTGGTTTTGGACCATGTGGACCCAGTGATTCCCAGGGACCATTCCTGAGTCTGCACTCAAGAGAGACCCCTGATGGTGCTCAGGGCATTGTATGTGACCCCTGGGGTTCCAACCAGGTTTACAACTGACACAGACACATGCAAGGCAACTGCTTTAAGCCCCACACATCTCGCCCAACAGTGAGTAAAGTTGAAGTAGCACAGAAGCTGCCAAGACTACCTGGCAGACTCAGCTGGAAAGGGTGTGTGGGAGGAAGGGGCCATCTGGGGAGCCCCGACACAGAGAGAGAAAACAGAGATGTGGACAGCAGCCTAGGCACGGGTTACTCAGGGCAGAAGCAGGAGGGGTGAGGTGGGAGGTGCATCCCTGGAAGCAGGGCTAGACAGCATGGCCCTGTGGGTGAAAAACCCTCTGTTCCCACAGAGGTCAGATTCAAGACATTGAGGGACTATCTCGAAACACTGCAAACCCGATGTGTAGGAATGTGGATCTCTAACCACAAGGACAGCATCCACAAGTCCATTTCTGGAAGGAGTACTAGACCCCTGAGCACAGGGCTGGTGTTCTGTTCTGTATGGTTCCCGAGGAGTTAAGATCTCTGGGAATCAGCTTTGCAGGATTCCTCCAAGCCAGTCCTCCTTATGAACCCTTTCTCCTGGTCCCAGCCCACAGCACTGTTTCTTTTGAGGGCTGGGGTGGGGTGGGAGGTCTCACTGGTGCACCAAAAAGATCAACAGCATTCTCTTCTCCAGGGTCAAATCTTAGACCCTACAAAGAGTTCTCCGGTTTGCTCAGTCAGATTTAAATTCTTGACAACTCAGAACATGACTTGTTTGCTGTTGACTCTAAGAAGGGGGTTCCTAAGCAGTGCCCAGTAGGCACCGGGGACCTTCCTGGCCATTCTCTGCCAGATCAGAGGTTGAAAGCAACATCCCCAAGGCTCCAGTCCAGCAGTGCTGGGCTCACCAGGACCCCACTCTACCCCCCCCCCCCGACAGTTTTCAGGGCAACCATGTGATGCTAAAGATCACACCGGGATCCTAGACTATTGCCCCATCCCAGAAATGACTACGTGGACCTCCTTTCACCATCAAAGCAGGTCTTCCTGCTATAAACCGAGTCTCAGAAACACTTCCCAAGTCATAGGGCTATGGAGGTGGGATCTCTTCCAGGTCATGACGAAACTCTGAGAAGAACCTTCTGGGAGGAAGGTCTGAGTTGGCCACCCTGGCTTGCAAGCACAGGTGAGTGTCCTGGACATCATTTGCAGCCACCGTCCTACCCCTCCAGCTCATTGGCTCTCGCTTACTCCTTCACCGTCTCTTCCAACGGGAGACAGAGGTAAGTACCAGCTCTGTCACTTCTCTCTTCATGGGGCAGCCTGCAGCCAGCTACCCAGTCTGACTTTGAGATGCACCAGCCTGTGCAGGCAAAACTGGGAGCCTTGACACAGTGAGCACAGCTGCTCATAAACCCTGACACAAGTCACTCCATCAATGGCAACTATGAAATATTCTAACACCAACCAGACAGCCAAACTTCCCTAGCCATGAATCTTGATGGCAACTCACGAGTCCTTAGGTTCTCCACCCCCACTGCGTCTGCCCGATGGTTCCTATGTTCACTAATGCTACCATCGGAAATCTCATGGCTAGCCCAAAGCAGGCCTCGGTCACTGTCTCTCTCAGCACATGTGGTGCCTTTCTTTGGGGCCCATCCAACTGACTTGTCCACTGGGCCACATTCCTGACATTAGAGTGGTGTGGCTAAGCCTTTCCTCCTGAACTTCCCAGAATCCATGCTCTGTAGGTAGGGTCAGGCCCAGCTAGAGAGCTGCACAGGGCGGGGTGGGGGGCTGGTGAGCACACATGTGCCCTAGAAAGAAAAAGGAGCTGCTGGTGGGAAGTTTATGGGAGCACTTCAGCCTGGAGCCCACATCAGTCAAGGTCAAGAGTCCTGGCCTGCCACTCTCAAGGAGTAACCGGGCTGACCAAGAGGCCAGCCATGGCAGCTCTCCCAGCTCTGCTGGTTGATCACCATCAGGAGGAGGCAAGTGACCCTTTAAGGGAGGGTGGGGGGGTTGTGATAACACAGTGATAGTACAGCAGATAGGGCATTTGCCTTGCATGAAGTTGACCCGGGTTCAATTCCCAGCATCCCACATGGTCCCCCAAGCACCGCCAGGACTAATTAGTGAGTGCAGAGCCAGGAGGGACTCCTGAGTGTGATCGCCGGGTGTGATCCAAAAAGCAATAATAATAATAATAATAATAATAATAATAATAATAGGAGAGTGGGTACGCTGAGGCACAAGGAAGACGCACATTCTGGGAGCGTCTGGGAGAGGTGGCTCATTTACTGCCAGGAGGGTCAGTCTTACAAACTCTAAGGGGCAAGAAACAAACACCATAAGGGGACTTCCAGAATACACTTGCCGCAAATAAGCACAGGTAAAACAGGATGATCATTAATTCCTTTTGGCTGGGGCCCCATTCGCTCCACTGTCCCCTGGTACTGTTGTACTGAGCTCATGTTGACTGGTGGGGTCAGGGACCATTGCTGGGAAGCCAAAAGGGAAGCTTCCTGGGCTCGTCCCATTCGGGTCCTCACCCTGAACTCACCCCAATTATGCCTTGCAACATGTTCCATACTGGCCGAGGTCACAGGTGACATAACTTTTTTTTGATTTTTTGGTCACATCCGGTGATGCACAGGGGTTACTCCTGGCTCTGCACACAGGAGTTACTCCTGGCGGTGCTCAGGGGACCATATGGGATGCTGGGAATCGAACCTGGGTGGGCCGCATGCAAAACAAATGCCCTACCCGCTGTGCTATCTCTCCAGCCCCAACATAACTTTCGATGTCAGATTCCTATTAAAGCATAAAAATTACAGCGAGCAGCCCTGCACCCCATGCCTAGTGTTCAGTGATGAATGGGCAGTCCTGAACCTTCCAAAGTCCCTGGAGAGAAAAGATATGCTGGCCCTGGTCTGGAACGCCCCCTCCTCTGTCTACCTGGAAGAGAGGTCCTCCTCTGGTGGCAGAGGATTCTTCTGGAAAACACTCTGGCTCCTTTCCCAGGGCTATCCGTCACCCCACTGCCCCGTGACCTCTGTGGCTATAGACAGAGCCCTGCCTGACTTGCTCAGTCACCTTCCTGGGCTCCCTGCCCTGGCCAGGCGCCTGCCTGAGTATGAAATACACACGTACGTAGGGTACCCGGATGGAAACATCTCAAATTTGAGGGGAAACCTTTTCCTGAGCCAGGAAGCCTGCTCTCTGCCCACCCCCCAGCCCCCACTGCCCCGGGCCCTCCCAAGCATCTGGAAGCAGATGGGTTTTCTGAAGGTGGGATGTGATGCTTCAAGACTGGGTCATCTTTGCAGAGCTGGGACCGGGTGTGAGACTGACACACACAGGCCGTCACACACAGGCTGCGGTGTGAGTAGAGCCATGACCACCCCTCTGGCATCTGTGGTCTTTGAGTCCATGCAGTTATGTCCTGCAGTTTCTGCTCCAGGCTCTGAACCCTGGACCAGGTCACAGGTGTGATGTGGCTCCTTGCCCCTCCCTCCCCAGGCCTAGAGCCATCAGGGTCACACCAAGGCACGTGGATAAACTCTAGCACAGGCATCCCTATCTCTGTGTCCAGCTGTCACCTAGACAGCGATTCCCACTCTGCAGATCCAGTGTGTGTGATCAGTGAATGATGTGGTCGCCACACCCACCTCAGTAAGACTAGCCTGGGCCTTGCTTCTGATCCAGCTGCCCCCTCTCTCTCCCCTGTGACTTAATTCATGGGGTCTCAGCAGGACCATCCCCCCCCCACCCCAGAGGCCTGTGCAGGAGCAGATCACGTGGAGGGAGAGTGGGGTCATACCTGGCCTAGTTGAAATTCTTTGCGTAGCTTCAGGATAGACTGAAGTATTGGGGAAAATGAAAGCTGCGCCCCCTGCAGGCAAAAGAGAAGAAATGTGTGAGAGTCTGTGGTGGTGGCTGGGGGGGTGGGGTGGGGTCATCTCTGCAGCAGTGCTCAGGGTCAAGCCACACGGCCACCCACCACTGGGAAGCTGCCCTGACAGCCTTCCCAAGGGACAAAAGGAGCACCCGGGAGAGGCAGACCTTCAGGGCTGAAGCTGTGTGTGTGTGTGTGTGTGTGTGTGTGTGTGTGTGTGTGTGTGTGTGTGTGACCCAAGGGCCTTGTTTAACATGAAAGCATCTCGGGTGTTGATTTTACAGCATCATACCAGATACCAGTCCAATCCTAGGTGCCCATCCTGGCATACAGCAAGCTCATGAAGCTCATGTGATGAACAAAATATTCTATGGTGTGTGTTCAGGCCCAAGGGCATAAGATCCTGTAAAATCATTGTCCAGAACCTGGAGTAGTGTGCCAAAGAATTACGAGTATATAACCAAGGGATCTAAATCCATAGATCTGAGTAGAAGCCACTCTGCATGTCTACTCAAACGCACGTTTTTCTCTTCCTTCGCCTCCATCAAGGCACCTGCCATCAGCCAAAAACACCCTCTGGGATTCGTGTATCCATTTGGAATTTGTCCTCCTGTATTTTGACCATTTTGTGCTTGACAATAGCAAGTATAACATCACCCGAGCTTTCTTGCAATGTGCATGCAAGGGACTGAAATTAATCTATTTTTTTTAATTGTGTAGCTCAGAGGTGCTTTCTAAGAAGGGGAAATTACTTGGTCTAATTGAATCATTATTTGTCATCAGAAAGTCATTGGTAAGAAAATATGTGTAAATGAAATTGAAAAAGAGCATCACCTGTTTAAAGCATCCTTTGCCCCCCCCACCACTTGAGATGGAGAAACACAGTGTTCCAGATATTGGAGACCAAAATAAACCCACTATTTCCTAGTCAGAGTCTGACCTGAATGTACTCAGTTTGCATTCCTTTTTTTTTTAAATGATGTGGTCGCTTTTTGGGTCACGCCCAGCAATGCACAGGGGTTGGTTACTCATGGCTCATGCACTCAGGAATTACTCCTGGCGGTGCTCGGGGGACCATATGGGTGGGATGCTGGGAATTGAACCTGGGTCGGCTACGTGCAAGGTAAACACCCAACCCGCTGTGCTATCACTCCAGCCCCTCAGTTTGCATTCTTAAATGAAAGGGCCAACACTCAGGAACTCGTGTTTCTCCCTGAGGGGTGTCTGGGTGTGAATCTACTTGCTGCCAAGCTCTCTCCTGCACCCACCACATCTCTCCCTAGACTGGGTGTCAGCGGTGCCATGCAGGCTGGGACAGCAGCCCGTGGACATGCATTTGTAGAGATCCCCACCCGGGAGACCTCGGGGTCCAGTGCGGAGCGTATTCAGCCCCCAAAACAGGGTCTCTACTGGGAGACCAAACTCAGACCAGGCCGTAGTCAGCCAGGAGGAAGCGTCGTGTCAAACTCAGGCGCGGACACAAAGCAAACCAACCATCAAAGGTGGAGTGAAGCGTTAGAAAGAATGGTAGGAACTGGGTTAGTGAGTCACTTCACAGCCTCCCAAGTTCTGCATTTTACCCTTAGCAATAAAGTTTGCCTAGAAGTCACTGTCATCAACCCTCTTCCCCGGCCCCCAACTGCCTTCTGCAAAAAGTCGCCACCTTAACTGGAAGGTTGAAGTCTAGACAAGTCCAGGGGCCAAGAGAACTTAACCAGAAAGGAAAAACCAGAGCTCCTAAGTGTCCCCTCATAAACATTCCTTTAAGAGGAAAACAGAAAAAAACAAAGGCGAACACTAAGAGCTCCTTTAGTCAAACATGCTTTTAGTGTCTACAGACAGCAGACAGTTATTGGGGGATTAAGAGCAGCAGGTTGGAACTCAGAGAATGTGGGGTAAAGCTGTGGCTAATGAGGAATTCTACCCAGCTTTGGAGTCAGGAAACCTTTAATGATTAGAGGGAGGGGGAGCATGCCCCCCGAAACCCACGCACGCCTCCTGCCGTTCCGTCCTGATACCTGCGCCCGAGCTCTCTCCCCCAAGGAGAGGCCCCTACCCCAGCTCTGTTGGGCCTTCCGGTCACACCCCTGCCCGGCTGGACAGCAGGCAACTGGAGGTGAGACCAACAACACCTAGGCTTTTCCTATGGGAAGGGGGCAGGGCCACTATTACCTGTGTTTCTAGCATGCATTAACCGCGGAGAGTTTTGTAATGCTTTATCAACATCATCTGAAGTCAAATGTGGAAGTGGAGCTACAAAACAAAACACAAAGCAACATCAAAATGCAAAATAATAATAATAATAATAAATTAAAGAGAGCAAATTACTTTTCTTAGGTAAAAAAAAAAAAGGAAAAGAAAAGAGAGAAAGAAATGTCTGCCGTCCCCACCCAAATCTCACAGGCTAATTTGAAATTGTGTGTCTCCTCATTTTATCACAAGTTAGCATGTTAAAACCTCTATGTGGGGGGCCCTGCTTAATTACGGGGGTCCACGGATGAGTGGCAGGCAAAGCGTCTACACCTCACCCACTGACTGACCCCAGACCCTCCTCCTCTCCCCCTGCTGCAGGGCTGCGGATCAAAGCATGCAGCACACAAGAGGGTTCATGCTTTCACATGCCAAAATGCCATTCCTAGCGGGTGGGCCCAGTCATATCCCAAGACACCTCGGGGAACATGCCACATTTTTTGTTCAGGTTGGAGAACTCAAGGCATTTGGGGAGTTCTGGGGAAGCCACGTCCCAACATCTCCCCCAATGAGCCCATTCCTGCACAGGGCCCCAAGGGGACCAAGACCCAGACCCAGGGACAGCTCTGTCTCCCTGTGACTTCAAACCTTGGCTGGGAACTGGGGCGGGGTGGGGGGGATCTCTGAAGACTCCTGGTAGGGGCATCTCTGGCTTCCAGGGAAAGCTCTGATGACACCTGACAATACACCTATTCAGCACCCGGCTCTCTCGGACACCAGGTGAGAACCCCAGCCCGCAGGGTGGGGAGGTGGGCAGCCGTGGAGACACCCCGCTTACTCTCTCTGAGGTAGTGCAGGTGCGAGAGCAGGATGTCGGCGTTGTAGCTCGGGGTGAGCCGCTGGAAGTCATCCTTGGTCATCTTGCACAGCTCTTTGCCGTCGATGTTCTGGAAGAGCAGGAGGTCCACATCTGGCAGACTGTACTCCTTCACCGCCCACTCCAGCCACTGCCGTACGTGGTCTGTGCTCCACAGCGTGGGGTCTGCAGGGAAGCAAACATGCACCATCAGCCCCCAAGACTGCATCTGAGTCAGAGGTCAGCTCCAGGTGCCGACCAAACATTCCAGGGGAGCCCCGGAACTGCCCCAGAGGCAAGGGAAATGAACAGAGGGGCAGGGAGAGCCCTACTGGACTCCAGGCTCTCCCCATAGCTCACGGGCTTCCGAGGGGCAGTTCATGGTTCATTTTGTCCACTCTGGAGAAGCCCGTATTTTCTTACCCATCCCTCTTCCCTCACACGTCAACTTCTTGAAATAAAACTTCTTTCTTAAAAGGAAGGCATGGTTCCAAATTAACCACTCTGTTGCCTTCTAGGAAACTTCATTTTGTACTGACTTTTTTTTTTTGGTATTTTTTCCACAGTTTTGTTATGGGGGGGAAGGAGAGGGGGGCACATTTGACAGTCAGTGCTCAGGGATTACTTCTGGGTCTATGCTCAGGGTTCTCCCCCCGCAGGATTGTGGGGGACCGTATGTGGTACTGAGGATCTAACTGGGGTCAGTCACATGCTAGGCAAGTGCTCTACTCACTGTGCTAGTTCCCTGGCTCCCTTCAAGGAAACTTTAGACCAAAAAAAAAATTTTTTTTAGGAGACTGAAGCAAGAGTATAGCAGGTAGGTCACTTGCCTTGCACGTGGCAGAGCCAGGTTTGATCCCAGCACCCTGAGCCTGACAGGAATGGGTTCCCTGGGCCCAACAGGAATGATTCCTGAGTGCAGAGCTAGGAGTAACTCCTGAGCACCACCATAAAGCACCACCTGAGCACATCCCGATAAAGAAATAAATAAACTAATAAGAAGAAAGAAATTCCTTGTGAGAAAGGGTTAAGAGGATCTTGTGCTGAGTGAGTTCCATCAAAGGAGAAGGGGGGACACAGAAGAACCCCCAGGTGTCAAGGAGCCACAAAAGCCAAAGCAACAGAACCTGAGAACTTGTCCACAGATCCGAGATTGCCATGGGCACCGGGGCTGGAAAAAGGGGCCACAGGCAGCGGGGGAGGGAAGCCAACATCCGGGGGGGGGGGGGAGGGGCGGGGGGAGGGGGCTTGGAATACTGTTCCCAGAAAATCTATGATGAATGGGATTGTAAAACACAATGCCTTGAGGAAAATTTAAAAAATAAAGAGAGTTTCCCTCTGTTCCCATGGAGTTTCGTTATTTCTGTATTAAAACAGATGGGGAGATATGTTCTTTGCCTGAAGAACTACTGGTTTCTTGATATGAATGGAGGAAGAGTTCAGCATTCATGACAGGTAGATGCTATGTACAGACTACACACACACACACACACATACACACGTACGCGCGCACACACACGCTCTCACATGCATGCACACATACATACACACAGACACACAAAGACACAGACACAAACACATACACACTTACATACACACATGCACACACATGAATATACACATACACACATACATGCATATATGCACACACATACACACATGGATACACACACATACACACATGCGTGCACACAGGGCATGATTTGTAGGAAATGCCGAAAACCTGAGCCCAGGATGGGAATCAAGCTTAAAGAAGAACAAGACTGGCCCTCAAGTGGCCCAGAGAATGAGGTTGGTTCAGCTGCTGCTGTGTTGAGCGTGGGGGTGGGACTCATGGCAGCCGTGGTGCTGGGCTGGAGGGGGCACTTTTTCAGGCCGCAGCTGTGGGTTCAATCCCCCACACTCTACTAGCACCCACAGGGCCCCAGGAGCTCTTATGCAGAAGCTGGGAAGGCAGGAGATGCCAACCCCAATCTACCTCACATGCGGCCCAGCCTCCGCCCACGTTTCCTCTCTCCAACCTCTCCTTTTTCCCTTCCATCCTTCTTTATCCTCCTATCATGCTCCCTTCTTCCATCTATCCATATTTCCTTTCTTCCATATTTCCATCCTTCCTCTATTACTGTAGTTCTATTCTTCCTTCCGATCTTCCATCTTTCCTTCCTTCCAACCTTTTCTTTGTCCTTTCTTCCTTCCATCATTCTTTCTATCCTTCTTTCCATCCTTTCTTCCATCCATCCATGCATCATTTCTTCCTTCTCTTCCATCCTCGCCCTCTCTCTTTCTTTCTCTCTGCCCTTCCGTTCTGTATCATATCTTTCTGGGTTTTGTTAGGGGGGCCGCACCCAGCATTGCTCAGAGATTACTCGTGTCTGTGTCCTCAGAGATAACTCCTGCTTGGTTCAGGGGATGTGGTGCTGAGGATGTAACCAGACTGGCTGCGTGCAAGGCAAACACCTTACCACTGTCCTATTTCTCTGACTGCTTCGATTATTTTTTTTTCTTTTTGGATCACACCCGGCGATGCACAGGGGTTACTCCTGACTCTGCACTCAGGAATTACTCCTGGAAATGCTCAAAAGACCATACGGGATGCTGGGAATCGAACCCAGGTTGGCCACATGTAAGGCAAACTCCCTACCTGCTGTGCTATTGCTCCAGCCCCTGATTCAATCCTTTTTACATAGAAATAATTTCAAGTCCAAGAGAATTCATCACATCATATATATATGATGTGATGAATTCTCTTATATATATATATATATATATATATAATCACTGTAGCACTGTCCTCCCATTGTTCATCTATTTGCTCAAGCATCCTGACTTCCCAGACGTCATGACCATCCTGAAATGGATAAATTCATCATCGCTCTCTCCATACTCAAAATACTTTCACTAATTTCTAGCAACGGTCTAACTCCCTTCGTTGTTTTGAAGGCTAACATAAATACAAACAGATTTGCTTTGGGCACTCTGCATTTTCAAGATGCGTCCAAGACGGTCCCTTCCAGCAGTCAGTCTCTCTCTCTCTCTCTCTCTCTCTCTCTCCGTCCTCTTTTTCTCTCTGGCTTTTGAGCCACACCCAGCGGTGCTCAGGGCTCACTACTAGATCTTCACCCAGAAACCACTTTTGGGGGTACTCTGGGGACCATATGGGATACTGGAATCTAAATAGGGTCAGCGCATGCAAGGCAAGCACCCTGCTCACTGCACCATTTCTCTGGCCCTTTTTCCTTTTCTTTTGTTGGGTTTTGCCTTTAAACAAACACGAGGGCTGGAGAGATAGCACTGCAGGTAAGGTGCTTGCCTAGCATGTAGTTATCCCAGCATTGATCCCAAGCACCCTCTAGGGTCCTCGAGACGCACCCAGAGTAGCCCCTGAGCACAGAGCCAGGAGTAAGCCCTGAGCACTGCTGGGTGTTCCCCAAACAAACAGTAAATAAATAAAATGAAGAGCTTCACAAATTAAAAATTAGACAATACAGTAAGATTATAGGGCAGAGTGTAGCCACTTTCAGGACATTGATTTGTTCTGACAATTAAATTTCTTCTCTCAAAACTAGATACTCTGGATAAAGCAAAACTGCAGAAAAATCACTAGACTGACGTTTCATTTTGTTTTTACTCAGGGGCAAGTGGATGGGACACACTCTATGGCCTTACATCTACCTCTGTGCTCAGGAGTGACCCCTGGCAGTGCCTGGAGTCAAACCTGGGTTGTATGCATATAAAGCGAGTACCTTCACCTGTCTACCTATCTCTCTGCCCCCCCCCCCCAGTGCCATGTCTAAGTGAAGAAACAGCACCTGACCCTGGAAAAAGGGCACTGACAAAGAAACTCACTTTGCCTAGACCACTGGGTGTGCCTTCCCATAGCTAGGGTTGTCCTGGCTGGGTTTTCCTTTAGGGGGTCATGACCAAGACTCCAGCCCCTGATTCTGGGACCATGGCAGACGCATCCCCACCTCCCTCTGACCCTCTCCCATGGCGGGGGCGGGGGGGGGGATAAGTGAGTGTTGCCACAATCTTTGCTCACAATTCTTCGGCAATGGATTTCAAATGTCTTAAAACAAATATTGTGCATCAGCTCTGAACTAAAAATTCCACTTCTAGAAATTTATCCCAAGGAAATAAAAGAGGATGTGCGCAATGATTTATTTTCAAGGATGTTCTTTGTAGTGTTGTTTATAAAAGCCAAACACTGGAAACACCCTAAATGTCCAACAGAAAGATTATGAGCTGTGGTGGTGCATTGAGGAATGTTCCAGAGATATCTGGAAACTGAAGATCACCCTGCCTAATGTATTTGTCGATGCAGAGAAAACGTTTAAAGTAAATCCAATCAACAAGTCTGAAAATGTTATTCCAGAATTAGATTTTGCATGGAAATATAAGCCCACGCAGGAGAAGAAATTTGCAGGGCCATGCAGATTTCCATTTTTATTTATTTAAAAAGAAACAAATAGAAATTTTCCTTACAAAACTTCTGATATCCTGATATGTAAATAAAAGCTCACAATACACACCAGATGGGTGCTAATTTCAGAAAAGAAAATAAAGTTTTTATGTTTCTTTTTCATTGAACTATAATTAATTTTGTTTTGTTTTGGTTTGGTTTGGGGGCCACACCTGTCTGTACTCAGGACTTACTCCTGGCTCTGTGCTCAAGGATAGCTCCTGGCAGGGCTCAGGGGACCATATGTGGTGCTAGGGACAGAGTCTGTGGGTCAGCTGCGTGCAAGACAAGCATATTAGCCTCTGAACTATCTCGCTTGCCCTGTATAATTTTTTTTTTACAATAAACACATAGTACTTGGCTTAAAAACTATTTTAAACAAAATTATTCTCAGGGCTGGAGCAGGTAAGGTGCTTGTTTTGCACATGCTGACCCGGGTTCAATCCCTGGCACCCCATATGGTCCCTTGAGCATCACCAGGAGTGACCCCTCAGCACAGAGCAAGGAGTAATCCCTGAGCACTGTGGGCATGGCCCAACAATCAACAGCCCCAAAAATGGGGGGGGGGGGGAATTCTCTTCTATCTTTCAAAATCAAAATGTCTTACTTACAGAGGAGTCTAAGGAAATGACCAGGTTGGTCACAGCAGTAGGGTGTTTGCCTTGCACGTAGCCGACCTGGCCGACCCAAGTTCGATTCCTCCACCCCTCTTGGAGAGCCTGGCAAG